TCCTATCACTGACAGCATTGTACTTCAGGACAGATCTTGAAACATGCTTTGTGAGGATGAATGCCACACCATTCCTTTTCAAACTGTCATTCCCGGCATAGTAGATCATATGGTTGTTTCTCCATGTAGGTAGAAGTTATCTGCTTAATCCTACTGTACAAGTCATGCTGACAAATTTTTCTGAAGAGCCCTGAAACTTTGTTTCTTGATTCAAATTTCCCACATGGTACATACATTGGAACCAATGGGTGTTTACTGCCCAAACCAAAAAAAACAAACTCACTGCTGTCAAGTCAGGTCTGACTCATAGCAACCCCTCCTTGGGTTTCTGAGGAGGTATCTCTATGGAAGGAGATTGCCCAGTGTTCCTTCTGAGGAGTGGCTGGTAGGTTAGCAATCAAATGCCTTAAGCATTATGCCACCAGAGCTCCTTGTGTTTACTGCAGACCTGTGATATGGTTACTAGGGGACGGAGAAAAAGTAGAAGTTGAGAAGAAATAATGCTCAACTTTAATTATGCCCTCTTCCCCAGTAGAGCAATAAGAACTAACTTAATTGCTTGAGCAGTGTTCATTTCAGTATCTGGGGTAGGCAGATAACTATGCCAATGATACAATAAATCATTCCTTAAAAATTGTTTTAACTCACTTCAATTACTCATGCTATTTTGCTGTTCAACATTTCTCTTTTAATGACAAAGAAATAATTGCAGTGTTAAGGTGTTTCGCCCACAGGAATGTAATAATAAATTTGTGGCTTGATGTATAGAAAATAGTATTTCTTGTATAAATGCCACGCCTATCACTTTTTTGGTCATTCACAGCAATAGGAAAAGAGTAACATGAAGAAAACCTAAATGTCACATGGTCTATATAAGGGGAATTTTATGACTGCTTACACCATCATTATGATGGTTTGGCCAGTGATCTTCTATGGAATAATTTTTATTATAGCTATTTATAAGCAGACACTGCTGTATTTACCATTTTATGAGTTTAATATAATTGGAACTTGGAGAATCTGAAATCAATAAAGTTTTTGATGGGATTTCAACTTATTAAAGAAACTTGGACTTTGAGTAATTGGATAATGAAAGTGATTTGGATGCACAGACATGCTCATTCCATGTGGGGAGCTCATCCTTGTGTGAGGTGGAGATTCAGAGCTTTGCTTCCAGCAGATGTATATAAAAACTTTGGGCCCTAAAGAAGAGGGAAGGAGTGTATCGGGAATATCAGCAGGGTGACTGTTTTTCAATCGTGGGTTAATATGTGCAGATTCTATTTGAGAATTAGACCTGTATTCTGAAGGCTAGAAAATGATAATCTTCCTTCCATACACTTAGGATGGAATTTCACTGTTAAAAGAGACTATAGAAGTCATTTGGCTTTATCTCATTTTACACTCAAAGATGTGAGGAGATTAATTGAAAAGCCTAAAGTCAACTGATCACTATGTCTTGAAGAGAAGTCCTTCGAAAGTTCATTGCTTTTTCTTCTTTACCACTATAATCCCTTCAAATCCTCAGAACCCCCCAATATTACCTAAAAGACCCTAAAGCTGTGGAAATATTTACTATAATGAGGAAGTTGCAAGCTGTGCTTTTCCCTAGGTTTCCACCATCTTAGTACCTGTGTAACCTTTGAGAAGTTGCTTAATATCTCTGCCTCAATATTTTCATCTGTAAGATGGGGTAATAATAGTGCCATTTTCCATAAATTGTTATATGGATTAAATTAGTTAACATATGTAAAGTGTTCTAAACATCATTATTATTCCAAGACATTTCACTGTTAATAACATTTAACTGTGTATACATCTAAATTACTCAAAGGGAATGTTGTTTTATTGGGATTTGAGAAGGCACTATACTGAGCTTTTTTTGATGTCAGTATTCTGAAGTCTTTACATTCTCATCTAAAACACCAGTTAGGAATTTTTAAATTAAAAGTCCTGGTAAAACTTAAAAAAAAAAAAACAAACCCAAATTTATCTAATAATTTCATTTCCATGTGTTTCAGCCTTGGATTACTTAAAGGGAAGTCCAAGGAACGTTGAAGATTATAAATTTTCAGCTCCGTAGTCACAGAGATTTCTCTATTATCTTCAGAATTATGTCCTTAAGGTGGAGTAGGAATTAAGAATTTTCCCGTGTTGTTGTTGTTGTTATGTGCCATCGAGTCGGACCTGACTCATAGCAACCCTTCCTTGGGTTTCTGAGGCAGTATCACTATGAAAGTAGATTGCCCAACCTTCCTTCCAAAGAGTGCTTATGGGTTTGAACCACCAGCCTTCTGGTTAGCAGTCAAGTGCCTTAGGCACTATGCTATATTTTCCAAATGTTCACAAATTGTCTGCATTGTGTTTATGTGTATATAAAAAGATAAATGAAATTTACTTGAAATCTCTTAACATATCTTTACAGATAGTGAATCACAGGTTTTTGGATTGCTATAGGCTTGTCAGCTCAGAATGCAAGAGCTATACAGACCTTGCTGATTTAATGTGTAAGTGTGTGTTTTAGTTTTAATTACACATTCAAAGTCCTGATTATACCCTAGGGATTTATTTGCTTATGAAAAGTCAAACTATGAATTACAATATTGCAGATTAATTTCCACTTCATCAGATTAGTTTTACCATTCATTCCACAAGTACAATTTGTAAAATTTTGCAATACCTAAAAAAACTTTGATACTACATTACAAAAATGTACTTAAATATAGATGAGAAAGATAGATGCTTGTCTATTCCTTTTGGTACTGATGTTAAATAAAAGATGGAATATTTTATTTAAAAGAATTCCTCATTTTTCTCCCTAAACAATAAATTACTGGCAATGTGAACAAAAGTTTCCTTTAAATCTGTTATTCAGTTCAAATATGTGTTAGGGAAAAAAAAAAAAAAAGGTCAACTCTGTTTATAAAATATAACAGCACAAAGGGAAATTGTAAATAGAAAAATAAAACATGTAGAAGAGACAGATACTCTATGCACATAGCTTTAAAATCCTTATAGAGTCAAAGGAGAGACTATACATTCATTAGCTTAAACATAAATTCCCAAAGAGCAATAGTCCAACATGTTGATTTGACACAATAGCTTTACCCATTTGTAAACAATTCAGTAGCCTTGACTAGCAGGTAGGATCTTAATTTCCTTATCTAACAGTTCAATTGAAATGGAATAAGGACTTTCACACAAATGTCTTAGTAACATAGATATTCCTGGATTGTACTGGAGCGTCTACCAACATCCATTCAGTTCATTGGTAATGAAATTCCTTGTAAATGTCATCTCCTCACACAGTAGCAGGGTCTTAAATGGATAAAAGTTCTGTTCATTTTCTGTTTACACCACAGGAAGAGATTATAGAGTTGGCTAATGAAAACAGCTTATGTTTTGGAAACCAGTTAAAAAATTCAAAGTTATGAGTAAAAAGTGGTAAAAGAAAAGTAGCTGGCTGAATTTTCCCCCTTTTTTACAGTGATATGGTAAAAATACAAGGACAATGTTTAACATCCTTTAGTTAGGACATCTGGTCCCTTCCCTTGCTATAGGGCTCAGTTTAGCATAAGGAAAGAAAAAAAAAAAAAAAAACTTTTTGGCTGCAGCTTTAGTAAACAAAGAAACAAAGAGTGATGAAAAATATTACAGAAATGTCCTCAAGAGATCTGACAACTCAGAACACAGACCTTATCCCATTGATATTCATTATATTCCTCTAAAACGTGACAAATGAGTAATTGAGCCCTATTTTGGCTGAACAAGAGAAGGAAGTACTAGTTGCAGCACTGAAACAAGACAACCAACTAACAGAAAACAGTTATTTCTTCTCCTGAATAATAAAGACATCATGTTTGCATATACAACAGCTTTTGCATTATTGCTCTACATATAAGAATATATTAAGGAACTCATAACAGACTGCACATTACAAACTTAAGGTTCTTTGGTGAAGAATGAAAGAAAACAGTATTTGAGCTTTAAATAAAAATTATCTCATCCATTTTTGCTCTTATCTATTGATCCTTTGGATTCTTTCACAGAGCAGAGAGAGATACTGCGTTAGTTTCACCATGGCGACGATTGCCACACCCCCAGCCATCATACACGTGGGCCAGAAGAGTGAATGGAACAGCACATTGGAACTGTAGAGTTTGGTTAGGATGACACTCTTCTGGTTTCCTTCTGGGTCGGAATAGCAGGAGAAGTGTTGGTATTTCCTGAAGTTTTCCATCACAACATTCACCAGGGACATTGATTCTTCAAAGTTTTTTCCACACTTAGGTATATAGGAGCACTGTGAGGAATGAGATAAACTGTCAACAAACAATACTCTGTATATGTATGTGTTCCTTCGGTGGGTGGGACACTGCGATCAACTTTATGATCTGTGAAATAATCATGAAGGTTTTTCTTTTCAAATTCAAATGGTGCTTCCAGAAACCCTGAGAAATCATACATTGATTAAAACAATTTAGGCATCTGACCAAGATGTTCCTTGATAGCACTGTCACATAGTATTTATTGATTAAAATAATATGACTCCCAAAGGTTTCTTTTTGCCATAACTACATGTGGTGGGTTTTAATTATATTTCCTATTGAGCATATTTTTTCATGGAATCAGTATCAACCTTCATATGTTTTGTCTGTCTACATCTGTCCATGTAGTATCAAAAGCTACCAGTTTTCTCAGGGAGAATAGTTTACTGTTGTCTATTTGGCATGGCTTAATACTATTCAGCCAAGTCACCTGGTCATCTTGATATGGTTAGGTGAAAACAGCTCTACCTCTGTGGAGCTGCTGAAAAAGAATCTTGTAAAGTGTAGGGATAATTAAAGAACTATGAAGAGTGGTTGATGACCATTTAGCCTGTCACACTAACTCTTCCCATAAGCCAAGAAAAAGTAAACAGAACTAAAACAGTTTACTCTTCAACCATCACTCATCTGAAAATTTATGATGGCTTCCTTTTTATCTTTTTACCTCTCCTACCTTTTTTGTTAAGGGAACTCTGGTGGTGCAGTGGGTAAGGCACTTGGCTGCTAACCAGAAGGTTAGTGGTTCGAACCCACCAGCTGCTCTGTGAGAAGAAGATGAGGCAATCTCCTTTGGTAAAGATTTACAGCCTTAGAAATATGGGGGTCACTGTGAGTTGTAATCAACTTTATGGCAGTGGGTTTGATTTTGGTTTGAATATTTCTTGTTACATGTTTTCTACACCTCTCTCCTCTTTTTTTTCTACAACTTTTACCTTTTGCTTTATCCCCCTTGGTATCTTCCTTTTCCTTCCCTGCCTCCATTCTGCTTTATATTTTCCTGTCTGTTCCCTCTTCCTAATTTGTCTTTCTCATTCTCTTCTCTGACTACAGATGGAATTAGAGAACTCTTTGTAGTTTTAACTAATTTATTGGATATATTTTGGAATATATTTTTCTTAGTTTAAAGAACAGTATTTGAGGAGACCAAATCTTAGGACATTCTTTTCTTGGTCTGTAAATGAGCAGTGACAAACTGATATAACAATCAATCTAATATTTAGAAAATTTAGGAAAATGTGACTTAAGTTGCATTTTGGGGAGATGTGTGGGTCCCTTGGTTGCTTTTTTCCCATCTCTATGAATAAATGCCTTTCAACAGAAAACATAAGATTCTCTGTCCATTATTATACACACTATCAAATGATTAATTTAACTGAATTAAACTGGCTTCTCATAGGACCCCAGCTAATCCATAATAGTGCTTTGTGTGAAAAACAATGGCTCCTCTTCAAAACACTATTTATTTTTTCTATTGAAAATGGTCATAATAAAATAATTTTATTTAAAAATCCTCACATTTTACTGCCCTTTACCAAAAATTAAGATGATAAATATTCATATCTATGAGTTTTTCAATGTGAGTAGTATGTCCAGGGTTGTGCACTGCACAACTCTATACAGAAACACTGATGAGGTGGGTTGTGGGTGAGGATGAGCTGCATTGATGGGAGTTTTCCGGTTGTTTTTGTTAGGTAGCTTTGAATCAGCTCCGATTCATAGCAACCCTATGTACAGAATGAAATACTGCCCATATAGAGTTATTGTGTAGTGTACAAAAAGTCATAGATGTGAATATTATTATCTTAAGGAGCTCTGGTGATGTAGTGCCTAAGGCATTTGACTGCTAACCAGAAGCCTGGCAGTTCAAACTCACCAGCCACTCCTTGGAAGGAAGGTTGCGTAATCTACTTCCGTAGAGATTCTGCCTCAGAAACCCAAGGAGGGGTCACTATGAGTTGGACTCAACTGGACAGCATTGGTAAAGGGCAGTAAAGGGAATTTTCAGGTAGGACCCTAGAATAAAAGAATAATTCAGACTTGCAGAATTCACAGAAAGAAAAGATAAAAAAATTGGAATGAATTTTGCTGTCAGACTATGTTTGTATTACTCTTTTCTCTAAATTTCTTAGTGAGCACTTGGGTATTTGGCATTGTTTGCTGAGCTACAGTCACTGGATTATTTGACCATAAACAAGAGGAAGTTTCTGAGTTGGTTAAGAATGGAGGATGAGCAAACTGACATTCTCATGCTGTAATCCATGCTCAAAGTGTTGCTCTTGTGCCAAGGTCTGGTTGACACCTTGAAATTTAATCAGCTAAGAATATAAATGTGTTTAGCAGAGGGTTGGTATTAGCACTGCATTAAGGGTCTGAAAATACGTTCATGGAAGAATGTTTCTAGTGAGTTAAAACTTACTTACAAAATTGACCTATGACTTTCATGAAGCAAAATTTCTACGAAGTTTTCGCCAGATTTTTCCTTCTGGAACAAAAGTTTGGAGATGCTTTTATTTTTATGCTTCTTCAAATCTGCTCAGATCATGTCTTCACAATTAGAATTTTTTTTTTTTTTTTTTAAGTAAAGCATTAAGAAAATTACAGCCAAGTTTTTTGTGGTTGAATCCAAACAGAGCCAATTTAGATTACAAATGCATCAAGAATCGTTATATTTGTGTACCAGGATGGTTTATAAGCATAGTTTCAGTAGTTAACAGTACTAAATTATTGAAATGGTCTCAATAAAAAATGGCAATGCATTAAAAACGGAGCTTTCTCTTATTCTCTTGTGAATTGATTCAGCTTTAAAATCTTTTTTTAAAGAAATGTTTGTCAGCCAAATGACAATAATTTTGTCAGTAGGTAAGATTTTTTTTTTTTTTTCACTCCAAGGCATGGGTTTATTTGAGAAGTTATTTTATCTGCATATAGAGAAAGACCATTCTGTTTCTAAAAGAAGAAATGTCTAAACATAGGCTAGGTACTATGATGCTTTTAAAGATAAGAGGAGAGACTTAGAATAGAAAATCAGGCAGTGGGTGATCTTCAAGTGATTGATTGAATCATGCCCTTTAATGAGATCAGCTGGGATCAGGTTATTAGTCCATTTCTAGCCTGACTGGGCACTGCCCTCATTCTCTCTCTCTTTTTTATAATTAAAAATTTTTTTTTCCTTCATTTTTGCAATGTTTCCTCTCCTCCCCACACACCCCGGTAACAAACAAAGAAAGTTTCCTTCCATATATAAACCTTTCCTTGACTTTTTACAACAATGAACTAACACAATATTTATCCTTCTATGATTGACTTATTTCACTCAGCATAATGTCCTCTGAGTTCATCCACGTTATGTGGTGTTTTGCAGATTCTACATTATTCTTTAGGGTTGCATGGTATTTCATTGTGTGTATATATCATAATTTGGTTATCCATTCTTCAGTTGATGGGCACCTAGGTTGTTTCTATCTTTTGGCTATTGTAAATAGTGCTGAGATGAACATGGGTGTACATATATCTGTTCTTGTCCTGGCTCTCAAGTCTTTAGGATATATATAATTAGTAATGGGATGCTGAATCAAATAGTATTTCTAATTCCAACTTTTTCAGTAATCACATACTTCTTTCCACAGGGGTTGTTTCATTTGACAGTCCCACAAGCAGTGTATGAGAGTCCCAATCTCTTTCCATCCTCACCAGCTTTTGCTATTTTGCCTTGTTGAACTTTGCTATTAGTGCTGGGGCAAGATGGTGTCTCATTCTTGTTTTGATTTGAGTTTCTCTAATGGCTAATGGGGGAGCTCTGGTAGCATAGTGGCTAAGACACTTGCCTGCTAACCAGACGGCTGGCGGTTCAAACCCACCAGCCACTCCTCAGAAGGAAGGTTGGGCAATCCTACTTCCGTAGTGATACTCCCTTGGAAACCCAAGGAGGGGTCGCTATGAGTCGGGTTTGACTCGATGGCACACAAAACAAAACAAAACAAACAATGGCTAATGGCAGTTCAAACCCACTAGCAACTCCTTGGAAGGAAGGTTGGCAATCTACTTTGGTAGTGATACTGCCTCGGAAACCCAAGGAGGGGTCGCTATGAGTCAGGTCTAACTACACAGCACATAGCAACAAATGGCTAATGGTTGTGAACATTTCTTCATGTGTTTGTTGGCTACCTGAATATCCTCTTTGGTGGAGTGTCTATTCATGTCTTCTGCCCATTTTTTAACTGCAGGAGTTCTGATGGCGAAGTGCCTAAGGCATTTGACTGCTAACCAGAAGGCTGGTGGTTCAAACCCACCAGCTGCTCTTTGGAAGGAAGATTGGGCAATCTACTTCCATAGAGATACAGCCTTGGAAACCCAAGGAGAGGTCGCTATGAGTCAGGACCGACTTCACAGCAGTGAGTTTATAAATTAAGTTGTTGTTGTTGTTGTGTGCCACCAAGTCAGACCCGACTCATAGCGACCCCTCCTTGGGTTTCCGAGGCCGTATCACTACAGAAGTAGATTGCCTAACCTTCCCTTGGAGGAGTGGCTGGTGGGTTTGAACTGCCAGCCCTCTGGTTAGCAGTCAAGTGCCTTAGGCACTTGCTACCAGATTTGTCCCTAGTTTTTCCTTGAGGAACTTTATAGTTTTAGGTTTCACATTCAAGTCTTCTTAACTTCTCTGGAGTTAGTTTCTGTGTATGGTGTGAGGTATGCCTCTTATTTCATTTTTCTGCAAATGGATATCCAGTTTTGCCAGTACCATTTGTTGAAGAGACCATCTCTAACCCATGTAATGGATTTCAGCCCTTCATCAAAGATCAGCTGATCATAGGTGGATGGATCTATTTCTGGGTTTCAATTCTATTTCACTGGTCTGTGTGTCTGTAGTTGTACCAGTACCAGACTGTTTTGACTACTGTGGCTGTATAGCAGGTTTTGAGATCTGGGACTGTGAGACTTCCTACTTTGTTCTTCTTCAATACTGCTCTTCTTATCC